CGAGCATCAAGAGCAGAGACAGAAATCGTCTTCTTTCGGTTGAAGATGAAATCTGTGTTTATCTAAAGTTCGACCCCAAATTAAGTATTTGTGTACGACAAGACAACCACAGGTTTCACATTAGAGGAACAAATTTCATTATCTAAATTGGCCTCAAAAATAAACATTTCCTTGGCCCATATATGTATTTGTTCATATAACATTTTGTCTTGATTTATCTTACGCCTTTTCAACACTATCAATAAACGACTTAAGTTACTGTAGTAGTTATTACCTGTTTTTGTTCTGTTTGTGTGTTATATATGATATTGGTTATTTATATTTATTTTTTTTGTTTACAGATATGGTTAATTTTTTGTAATACCCTACCTTTGATGAGTTTCAAGAGTCTTTGTACTCCTGGAGCCTTGCCATGGGCCAGGCTCCTCTGGTGCTAGCCTGGTCAACCAGTTATCAGAAAAAATACAGCCTCACTCACTTAGTGACGTACTTAGACTTACGACTGGCTGTCTGACCAGTATGCATACATATACACCTACCTTCCGACTTACGACGTGCTCGACTTACGACCACTCGACTTACGACCGTGTTTTTTATGCCAAATTTCTGGGAAATAAACAACTATTTGTGTTGTACACAGTGTTTATCCTAAACCTTACAGTATAAAATACAGTACTAACAACATAAAAAGTAAAGTAAAACATGAAATACCAAAATAAAAGTCATTACAAAAATGTTTTGTTGATATTCAGTAGTAAAGTTCGACTTACGACCATTTCGACTTACGACCATTTCGACTTACGACCGGTTTCTCGGAACCGAACTCGGTCGTAAGTCGGATGGTAGGTGTATAATGTATATTAGAGCTGATTTCTTCTATTGTGTTTATTACAGTATATGTACAGTAAACTACTGTATAAACATTTAAAAATATACCAGAAATGTTATAAATGGTGCAAATGTGACATTAAAACAATATCAAAGATGGCTGACGCAAACCCACTACCATTGTAGTATGCTCGTCACTTAGCTACGACATCATTTACCAACGTGGTCTAAGGAATGGAACTCTGGCGTTAAGTGAGCAGAGGCTGTATTCTGTTTTCCTGATGAACTTTAAGTTTATAAAAGAGAAAGAAAGATAATATATAATAATTTTTATGTAAGGGTCCCTTGAGACATGAAAATTATTTCCAGGGTTACGTAAGGGTAAAAAGGTTGGGAAACACTGCTCTAAAGTATCGTCCATTTCTTTATAAACAATGTATGACGTTGAAATGAAATTACATGAAATTACATGAAATTACATGAAAGTGTCGCCTTATAACACGTCTTTACAAGTTATTCTGTTGACTTTTCACAAATTATTTCTGAAAACACTTTCAGTCTCAACCAAGTGTTTAATGCTGATAAGATCAAGTTGGAGTGTGAGCAGGGTAATATTTTGTGAAGGGATTCGGGGAAATCGGTTAGCCGGACTTGAGTCCTGGAGGTGGGAAGTACAGTGCTTGCACTTTAAAGGTTGATTGCTTCGAGCGTTGTTTCATTCCTGCAGTGAAACTATCTGGCTGCAAATATTGTTGCATTCACCATAATTTTTAAAGGGGTAAGCCAACAGAAGGCCTTGTTCAGACGACCATAAGCTCCAACGACGGGTCATTATCTGACTTAGACCAGCGCCAGGAAACACTCGTCCTGTTTCCTGACAAACTTTACCTAACCTTGTTACATTCAACTCCCTCCTCATTGTTAATAATTCCTGTACTGTATTCATCCTCTCACCAAACTTAAAATAATAATAATAATATATCTTTATTTCTACAAGCACATATACAAGGTATACAGGCCTAGCTGACATCAGTGACATACTACTATATAGAAAGCTGCTTGTTATGTAGAGTATTTCAGGCAAATTAGGTCAGTTTTGTCCCAGGATGCGACCCACAGACCGGGCCACGGGGGCGTTGACCCCCGGAACTCTCTCCAGGTCTCCAGGTAAACACCAGTTGACTAACACCCACGTACCCATTTTATACTGATGAGTGAACATGGACAGCAGGTGTCTTAAGGAAATACATCCTAATGTTTTCCAGCCATACCAGGGATTCGATCTCCGGACCTCAGTGTGTGAGTTGAGTCAGTAGTCTGTAGACCCAAATGTGCAGGTTGTTATTACCACCAAGTACAGTACAGTGGACCCCCGGTTTATGATCAGCTCCCAATGCGACCAATTATGTAAGTGTATTTATGTAAGTGCGTTTGTATGTGTATGTTTGGGGGTCTGAAATGGACTAATCTAATTCACAATATTCCTTATGGGAACAAATTCAGTCAGTACTGGCACCTGAACATACAGTGGATCCCCAGTTTACGATCAGCTCCCAATGCGACCAATTATGTAAGTGTATTTATGTAAGTGCGTTTGTACGTGTATGTTTGGGGGTCTGAAATGGACTAATCTAATTCACAATATTCCTTATGGGAACAAATTCAGTCAGTACTGGCACCTGAACATACTTCTGGAGTGAAATAATATCGTAAACCGTGGATCCACTGGATCTTGGATACAGTCACTGGATCATAAAAAATTAGATATCCACATCAACACAAGAACAGTAGCCATTTAAGGCCAGTTGGTCACATCAACCCCCGGCTCTGTGCACTTGGTCACATCAACCCCCCAGCTCTGTGCACTTGGTCACATCAACCCCCCGGCTCTGTGCACTTGGTCACATCAACCCCCCGGCTCTGTGCACTTGGTCACATCAACCCCCCGGCTCTGTGCACTTGGTCACATCAACCCCCCGGCTCTGTGCACTTCCATTTCAAGTCAACATCTTGAATGTAAGATAAAATATATTAATATACCTTGTAAAATCTTAAAAAAATTGTGTTGTATTCTCTGAAAATTAATTTTTTTTTTTTTACAGTATATTATACACTTCACACGTGTATAATATACTGTAAAAAAATAGTAAGATATCAGAAAATCTACACCTTATTTTTAATAAGGTGTAGATTTTCTGATATCTTACTATATTTAATTTAAAAATGGCACCACTACTGTATTCAAATAAATTTAAGTGAATCATCTTCTTGCATACCTTCTCTCTCTCTTCATAGGGCTGCATTAATGGCCATTAAACTTAATACAGTGTGACTTTGTCAATGGTCCAAGTCAGACCGAAACGTCGTCGTAAGCTTCTCTCTTTTATGTGCGGGTTATTTGTGTATCGTTCCAGTCACGGTATTGTGCCTTTTTGTTATTTATTCTTAATACAAGGTATTGCAGTTACCTTCTCTTTAGATTAAACTTCATTACTTTGCATTACCAGGCACTGTGTGAACCCATGTGCTTTTATTGCTTCCCTAGGAATACAATAATTAACCTGTCCAAGGAAGTGGAATAGTCAGTGAGGGGGCTTGTGATCCAAGGAACTGGACCAGTGAGGGGCAAGTGAACCAAGGAACTGGACCAGTCAGTGAGGGGGCTTGTGATCCAAGGAACTGGACCAGTGAGGGGCAAGTGAACCAAGGAACTGGACCAGTCAGTGAGGGGCTTGTGATCTAAGGAACTGGACCAGTGAGGGGCAAGTGAACCAAGGAACTGGACCAGTCAGTGAGGGGGCTTGTGATCCAAGGAACTGGACCAGTGAGGGGCAAATGAACCTAGGAACTGGACCAATCAGTGAGGGGGCTTGTGATCTAAGGAACTGGACCAGTGAGGGGCGAGTGAACCAAGGAACTGGACCAGCCGTATGCTGTCAGTGGCCCTGAAACCCAACAGAAGAAGAACTGGACCAGTCAGTGAGGGGGCTTATGATCCAAGGAACTGGACCAGTGAGGGGCAAATGAACCAAGGAACTGGACCAGTCAGTGAGGGCTCATGATCCAAGGAACTGGACCAGTGAGGGGTGAGTGAACTAAGGAACTGGACCAGCAGTGAGGGCACATGATCCAAGGAACTGGACCAGTGAGGGGCAAGTGAACCAAGGAACTGGACCAGCAGTGAGGGCACATGATCCAAGGAACTGGACCAGTGAGGGGCGAGTAAACTAAGGAACTGGACCAGCCAGTGAGGGGCTTGTAATCCAAGGAACTGGACCAGCTTTTCCCTGGATAAAACCCCACTTCTTCCAGTACCCCAGACATTTTAAGACCACTATGGATTTAACACATCTCTACGTTAACCCTTAAACTGTCCAAACAGATCTACATTCACATGCATAGTGCTCCAAAAGTAGATCCATGGTTTTTTTACATATTTTCAGATATAACAAAAAAAAAAAAAAACATACATCAAAGATTTTTTTACACATTTTCAAATGTAAAACAAACAAAAAAAAAAAAGTCTACGTTTTTTTATATACAGTGGACCCCCGCATAACGATCACCTCCGAATGCGACCAATTATGTAAGTGTATTTATGTAAGTGCGTTTGTACGTGTATGTTTGGGGGTCTGAAATGGACTAATCTACTTCACAATATTCCTTATGGGAACAAATTCGGTCAGTACTGCACCTGAACATACTTCTGGAGTGAAAAAATATCGTTAACCGGGGTCCACTGTACTTTCAAATGTTGAAAAAACGTAGATCTACGTTTGGACAGTTTAAGGGTTAATACAGCCTCTCCTCACTTAACGACGGAGTTCCGTGCCTAAGACCAAGTCGGTAAATGAATTCATCACTAAGCAAGGAGCATAGTATGTATAATGGTAGTGGGTTTGTGTCAGCCATCTTTGATATTGTTTTAATGTCACCTCTGAGCCATTTATGACATTTTTTGTATATTTTTAAATTTTTATACAGTGTACTGTACATATATAGTAATAAACAGAATAGAAGAAATCAGCTCTAATATACATTATTTAGGTATGCATACTGGACAGAAACCCTAATGTAAGTCCGAGTCATTGGTAAACGAGTACATCTCTAAGTGAGGAGAGGCTGTAATAATAACGATCATATACTCAATGAGTGGGTATATAACAGACATATTCTATCCTCTATATGTTTATTTCCAAACTTGAAAATTTACAAAGTTGTAGATTATTTGACAAATAATCACACTACCTCTACCACTACAGGTGGTTCTCGACTTACGATGGGATTACATTCTGACAAATCCATCCTAAGTTGAAGTTGAAAATATCCTAATTCATAAAATCCTAATTCAAAAATATCCTAAGTCGAATATGATATGCTAAATAAATAATGTCACTGAATAAGTCAATAGACAAATGATTACTGTAACTAAATACTAATACTGAATAGTAAAAAAATTTATAAAAGTTAGACATGCCACCTTCATGTTGGGTAATTATCTTAAGTTTCATCTCCGAAGTAATTGCTTTTGCAATATCAAAAATTTGAAATATAAGTTGAACCATCATAAGTTGAGAAGCACCTGAACTACTGTTCCTGTTCCCATCCCCCTCTTGTAAATACACTGGCTCCCTTCCCTTCGTACTTTTGTGTGATTAGTTAATGATCCAAGTCAGACCAAAACATCATCAAAAGCTTTACTCTCCTATGTGCGGGTTATTTGTGTATTGTTCCAGTCACGGTATTGTGCCTTTTTATTCTTTATTACTGTTTGGGATTGTAGAGGTTACAGGAACTAGCCACTAGAACGAACACCAACACTGCATTATCAACTGCTGTCTTCCTTATTAAAATCATCATGATACAGGTGTAGAATTACAGATCTAATTATCCATTACTGTATACAGTAGTTACAGTTTAATACACAATCACAACATCAAAAACATGCCGCCTGACTTTGTGATGTGACGAAGAATTAGACATCTGTACAACATCTGGGTATCTTTATTTGCAGATGTTTTGCCATCCAGTGGCTTTATTAATACAATACAAAGATATAATGGGAAGACTGTAGAACTACAGTGGACCCTCGCCTAACGAACGCATCGCATAATGTTAAATTCGCCTAACGATACATTTTAACGCTAACACTTTGCCTCGGCTAACGCTAAAAAACTCGCCTAACGATATTCGTTCTCGGGTACCAATTAATATTGTTAGGCGAGGGTCCACTGTAGTATATACAAATGACAAGGTAATCAGTCCCTTCAGCCCTGGAGTTGATGAATTATTATTATTATAATAATTATAAAGAAGCGCTAAACCACAAGGATGGAGCTGGTGAAGAGTACCATAGTCTTGAAGAATGTGAAGCACAGACAGGAAGATTTATGTACCATAGTCTTGAAGAATGTGAAGCACAGACAGGAAGACTGCTTATATGCTGGTGTCAGATGAGGGAGGTGCAGCAGACGAAAGTATTGTCAATGGTAGCCAGGATTTCCCAGTGGAAATAGATCATACCCAAGTCATAAGCCAGTAAACAAGAAGGTTGTGGAGATGTCCTCTTTATCAAGATTCAATGATGCTGCTGTATATAACAAGTTGTATGAAAGGTATACAATACCAGTATATAATCGCCAATCTTCCTGCCTGTAATTCACTCAAGACTAAGGTGCTCTTCACCAAACTCCGAGGCTGAGGGACTGATTACCTCATCTTTTGGATACAGTTCTAGTATTCCTGCTATGTCCTTAAACTTGTGCTGATAAAGCCATTGGATGGCAAAACATCTACAAATAAAGATACCCAGATGCTGTACATGCAACTAACCCTTTATCTTGTTGGTATTATACCACTCGAGTACAGTGGACCCCCGCTTAACGATCACCTCCCAATGCGACCAATTATGTAAGTGTATTTATGTAAGTGCGTTTGTACGTGTATGTTTGGGGGTCTGAAATGGACTAATCTACTTCACAATATTCCTTATGGGAACAAATTCGGTCAGTACTGGCACCTGAACATACATACTTCTGGAATGAAAAAATATCGTTAACCGGGGGTCCACTGTATTGGAAATATACACACTTGAGCAGTATAATGTGATCTTTTATTGACAATGTTGCATCCACTGTGTGGGCGAAATGTTGTTAATAAAGGATCACATTATACTGCTGAAGTGTTTATATTTCCATTGTGTTGGTATTTTCTCCCACTTATTTCCACCATTCACGTATTTGTGGTATGTATGATCCGAGGGGGGCAAACAAAATCTAAATAAACAGGCTATCATCTTTGAGCCACACTAATTTTCTTGGCTTAAGGGTCACATGAAATGTGATGTTCTTAGCTAACAGAAATTTGAATAAAAGAAGTCGCATAGAATTAGTGAGTACAGGAATATAAATACAGTGGAACCCCGCTTTACCAATGTGACCAATTATGTAAGTGTTTTTATGCAAGTGCGTTTGTACGTGTATGTTTGGGGGTCTGAAATGGACTAATCTAATTCACAATATTCCTTATGGGAACAAATTTGGTCAGTACTGGCACCTGAACATACTTCTGGAATGAAATAATATCGTAAACCGGGGGTCCACTGTACATTCAGAATAAGCATCTTAACAAACAAGGTAATGAACACATTTTACTCAACAAATTACCTTTTAGACTAATTAAAAAAATAAACTTTTTTCTGTATCACATCGGCTGTTTCCCACCAAGGCCGGGTGACCCAAAAAGAAAGAAAAACCCAAAAATTAAGAAAAAACTTTCATCGCCATTCAACACTTTCACTGTCACTCGTACATAATCACTGTCTTCGCAGAGGCGCTCAGATACTACAGTTTAGACATCCCTCCAAACTGCCGTATCCTAAAAGATAAACATATACGTATATAAAAAAATAATCAACGAATTTTTTATATAAATGAAGGGAAAAAAAAAGGTTTAAAAACTATGGAAGATTTCTTAAATAGTAAATTACTTTTAAATGCTATATTATTGAAAATATTAGTGAAAGAAAATAAAAAAAATAACGTAAAACTGAAAGCCAGGAAAATAAGCGTTATTATTACTTGATAAAAACTTTTTATAAGTGAAAGATAAAAAATGGATCACATGCACTGCAAATAATAATAATAAATCTTAATCAAAACTCACACTTAAATCCCCATCGCATTTATGAATTTAATGTTCTTAATCAGTAATTTTTACATCAACAATATTGCTCTCACAATAACATTCAAAAGCAATAAAACTGCGCAAAATTTCTAATTATTCGTCTAACATAAAATACAAAAATCTATGATAGCGGAAAGTTTTCTCCAGAGTTACCAATTACAAGAGACCGGTAATTTACACATCTAAGATAGCATATATATAGACAATATATACAGCCTTGCATTACACAATACAGTGTCTACAAAAATATTGATGCAACTACAAAGATCAACATCTTAAAACGTAATAACAAACAATTTTTGATTCCATGGAAGTAACTTATTATATGTAATATCACGACACTATCAGCTAGCCAAGACTGGAAGACAGCACAACACACAACACCACTACTCTGCACAGCAATATCAGATCACTTACCAACAACAATGTACACAACTATTTTATATGTATAGAAACAGCACCAATTTTAAAAAATGGACCTGCTTAGTTTGGGCCAGTAGGCCTGCTGCAGTACTCCTTCTTAAATGGGTGTGACTTGGATTTTCCTAGCATGGGCCAGTAGGCCTGCCACAGTGTGCCTTAAGTGGGTATGCCTTGGACCTGCTTAGCATAGGCCAGTAGGCCTGCGACAGTGCTCCTTCTTAAGTGGGTGTGACTTGGACTAGCCTAGCATGGGCCAGTAGGCCTGCTACAGTGCTCCTTACTTCTTAAGTGGGTGTGACATGGACCTGCCTAGCATGGGTCAGTAGGCATACCACAGTGCTCCTTCCTTAAGTGGGTATGCCTTGGACCTGCATAACATGGGTCAGTAGGCCTGCTGCAGTGCTCCCTCTTTATGTTTTTATTTCTACAATCACCTGTGAGTTAGTGTTATATTGTGTGGAAGATGAACTTCAGGGTTGGGATACTGAGGAGTTTCAATAACTCCTGCACCAAATTTGAGTTCCAAAAAGTCTCGAACATTGTTTGGCGCTGAAGCCATGACTCCGGCAAAATTTACCGAAGCAAGAGGCCGCAAGAAATGCTCGGGAAAATCTATATCCTGGCGGTGGCCTGTGTTCCAAGCACCACCTCGAGTCATAGTACCACCACGTGGGGTGAAGGGGAACACATCAACATGCAAGTGGTTAGCGGTGCTGTAATGCACTCTGAAATACCCTCCTTCAGATGCTCTTTGCCACACAAAACCTTCAGTATCTTCCAGGGTCTGCCAACGTGCAGCTTTAAGTTGCGGACAACGATCAACATCTTGCGAGTAAATACCAACATCGACATCATAATCCCAGGGTATAATATCTCCAATGCGAACAGCACCTAACAAGGAGCCTCCCTCGAGCCACCACCGTGCTCGACAAGCTCTCAGTGTCTGGAAGACATGTCGAGCTGTGGCTCTTAAACCTTCTAGACAACATGGCGGTGTCCAGCGTCCTAGGTAGAGGTAGTCCGGTGTATCGTCCACCACAGTGGGAAAACAACGAGGAGTTGTACGAGTGCATCCATACCAGAGTACATTGCCACCTGTGCTCACCACTTTTTTAACACCCAATGCAGAATAAAGAGAACGCTTTCGTTCCTCCTCGTATGTCTCGCACTTCCACTTCAGGTGATCAGTGGCATAAAGCTGCCGACCTTCTCCAAGCAGACCACCTCGACTAACGTGGACTTTCCAAGTGCGTGCGGCACCCTGAATGCCAATACTGAGGGTCACAGGGCGTGCCAGAGGATGAGTCAGCTGCACAAGACTGCTAGCTTGCATTAGCAATGCTGCACGTCCGCTGACTGCGTCACAAGCTTCACTCTGAGGGGCAGGAGCTATTGTCAGTGTCCAAGCTTGAATGTCGAGAGTATAGCGGTGGCATGTTAGAGCTGAACCGCCTACACCCACAGCAACAACCTGTGAATCTCCGGTATTTAACAAATGTATCAGATCCACTAACTGTGCAGGTGATGAACATCTGGCGCCATCTGGCAACAGTAAAACATATTTCGCATTGGCTAAAAAACTCTGAATATTAGGACGATGCCGGAGTAAACCTGGAGTCAGAACCACTGATGCAATTTGCCGTGGTAAGTGCAAAGGAGGGTAAACAGTTTCATCACTCACCACTAGTACCTTACACGCATCCCCACACGCACTCAACACAGATTCAACGGTTTCACGAACATCATTATCAAAACTTTCAAACTCTCTTATTATCACAACCAAATCTTCGAGTGGATTCTTGATAACTGGAGACGTTTCCGCTTTGACTTCCTCTTTAAGTGACAATCTGTGGCCAATATGACGTACAACCACAATGGAAATAAATAATATAAAAAACAGAAGAACACTACGTGCCTTCCTCACGCCCACCATACTGACTTTACTGCCTTGTCATCATTGTATACAACAAAATTAAGCAACTACTCAACACAGTATATTATAATAAATATTTGTCGTGCAGCACCAGTTATAATAATTCATAACAACAATTAGTCACATACTGGAAGTCCTTTAACTTTTAATGCTATAAGTGTTTATATTGTCCAATATAGTCACAGTCTTTATCAAGCATCATAGTATATCCAAAATTAAATGCTGTATATATTCACAGATTGATTACACCTAATAAACAAAATTATAAGATAATCAACTCAATTTATTGCATTGTCAATTATTAGAAGAAATAATACATACTTGGATTCAACATCCAATTTGCTATAAATTTTCGGGAGAACACTGTCATTTAACAAACTCTCCATAATAAAATATTACTCGTATTCACGTACATCTCATGTAATTTACATAATAGTGTACTATATTAGGCACCCAATTCTGAGCCATATATGGATAATAAAAAGTTGGGATAATCATGGTTTAAAATGAAGGAAGTGGATTCAGGGCTGTAAGATTCTTCACCACCAGAGTGCATCATATGTGTAATCCTTCTCTTTTTTAATTCCAAAGACATAATTAAATTCCACACACACACCAGTTAGTAATGGCACAGACATGTTTTCCAAATACAGGAAATATAATTTTAATTTTAACATTCAGTAATTAAATACCATATAACTTCTCATATCACTTATATGGATAGCACACATTTTTTTTTTTTTGCGTTATTTGTCAGATGTGCTTCTAGAATAGGGAGGCTTCCAGACGTGGATCATTGGGGTAGCAGCAACGTGTATCTTCTGCTTCCCCGCACAGCATGCAACTCATCTCGTAATATTGATAGTCATCTTCGACCCAGAAGCGGTGAGCGTGGGTAGCTATCACATGATTACAATTTCCACAAACATCTGTAAATATGAAGAATACAATAATACAATACCGTGATTGGAACAATGAAAAAATAACCTGCAAGTGGAAGAATAAAACCTGTAACAATGTTTTGGTCCAATTTGGAGCACTAACTAATTAATGGTCCAAATTGGATCGAAGCGCTGTCATAGGTTTTAGTCTCCTATGTGTGGCTTATCTGAAAATATGAATACATGTATATTAATATGTACAGTATAGAACGAGCTGTTGGAGTGTGAGCGAGGTAATATTTTGCGAGGGGATTCAGGGACAGCGGTTAGCCAGACTTGAGTCCTGGAAATGTAAAGTACAATGCCTGCACTTTAAAGGAGGGGTTTGGGGTATTGGCACTTTGGAGGGACTTCTAAACCGTTGTCTCTGTCCACCTCTGCAAAGACAGCGATTATGTACGAGTAAGGTGAAAGTGTTGAATGATGATGAAAGTATTTTCTTTCTGGGGATTTTCTCTCTTTTTGGGTCACCCTGCCTCGGTGGGTGACAACCAATGTGTTAACAAAAAAAAAAAAAAAAAAAAACATACCACGGCCGGGGATAGCCTGCAGTATGATTTGTTTGCAATCGTGTCATTACAATTTCGTGAGTCATATACAGTATAGTGTCTGCTATAAGATCACAGTAAAGAGGTGATATAATTTGCAGAACAACCACTGTCAAAAAAATAGTGAAATTCCAAGCACTTTCATGATTTCTCACATCATCAAGGAACAGTTACTTGATAATGTGAAAAATCATGAAAGTGTTTGGAATTTCACTATTTTTTTCACAATGGTTGTTCTGCAGTATAGTATATGCATATCTAATAATCAATGTATTTGTAACTACCATTTTTTTATTGCAGAGGAAAAGAGGTTAGGTTTACGGTGTTTCATCAGCAATTACAATATTTTAAAATATAATTAACTACTTTCAATAAAAGGTTTGATGAACCACTCTGATAACCTGTCAGTAAAGGTTCGATGAACCACTCTGACAAAAACCTGTCAGTAAAGGTTCCATGAACCACTCTGACAATAACCTGTCAGTAAAGGTTCCATGAACCACTCTGACAATAACCTGTCAGTAAAGGTTCGATGAACCACTCTGACAATAACCTGTCAGTAAAGGTTCCATGAACCACTCTGACAATAACCCGTCAGTAAAGGTTCGATGAACCACTCTGACAATAACCTGTCAGTAAAGGTTCGATGAACCACTCTGACAATAACCTGTCAGTAAAGGTTCCATGAACCACTCTGACAATAACCTGTCAGTAAAGGTTCTGTGAACCACTCTGACAATAACCTGTCAGTAAAGGTTCCATGAACCACTCTGACAATAACCTGTCAGTAAAGGTTCTGTGAACCACTCTGACAATAACCTGTCAGTAAAGGTTCTGTGAACCACTCTGACAATAAACCTGTCAGTAAAGGTTCTGTGAACCACTCTGACAATAACCTGTCAGTAAAGGTTCTGTGAACCACTCTGACAATAACCTGTCAGTAAAGGTTCTGTGAACCACTCTGACAATAACCTGTCAGTAAAGGTTCCATGAACCACTCTGACAATAACCTGTCAGTAAAGGTTCTGTGAACCACTCTGACAATAACCTGTCAGTAAAGGTTCCGTGAACCACTCTGACAATAACCTGTCAGTAAAGGTTCTGTGAACCACTCTGACAATAACCTGTCAGTAAAGGTTCCGTGAACCACTCTGACAATAACCTGTCAGTAAAGGCTCGATGAACCACTCTGACAATAACCTGTCAGTAAAGGTTCTGTGAACCACTCTGACAATAACCTGTCAGTAAAGGTTCCATGAACCACTCTGACAATAACCTGTCAGTAAAGGTTCTGTGAACCACTCTGACAATAACCTGTCAGTAAAGGTTCCGTGAACCACTCTGACAATAACCTGTCAGTAAAGGCTCGATGAACCACTCTGACAATAACCTGTCAGTAAAGGTTCCGTGAACCACTCTGACAATAACCTGTCAGTAACCCTCTTGCTGCATCAGCAGTGGACACTCACCACTTTTGAACCAGATATTCTTAGTTTCCTTCTCTTTTATTGTTTGCGTTGTCAGTTGTAAGTAATATTTAGTTGATAAGTACAACACATGTGCAACAGTTATGTAACTTTATTCTGAAATGATTCCCCTACAGAGTAAGCTTGAAGAATTGAGACACTTATGTAACACATGGGAATCTTTATTGAAGAAACGTTTCACCACACAGTGGCTTCATCAGTCCAATACAAAGTAGAAATGGGTAAGGAGAGTAGAAGTTTGAGGTAATCAGTCCCTCAACCTGGAATCGATGTGTTTAGTCCATCACTCTTGTAGGAAGTGCAGCATAGGGCCAGAGAGGTGGCTTATAAGCTTCTTTAGTCAAGTACACAGGAAGCAGTAGAGATGTGAAGACGATGTAATCAGTCCCTCACCCTTAAGGACGTACTTTTGAGGTGGTCATTCCCTCGGCACTTTTTTTTTGACAGCTTTAAGCTTAATTTGCAAAATATTGGTCCCTATCAGTTCAGATAATTTCTGAAATTGCCACTGAATATTGTATAAGGTGACCTAAACTGTTATTGCTGTATAACAATAGCAAGTGAAAAATGGCTGGTTATTATAACACTGATCAAGCCAAAAATCATGCCTTATTTTAAGGCTAATTTTCTCCCTTAACCCTTTGACTGTTTACGTCGTATAAATACGTCTTATGTGCCACTGTTTCTGACGTATATATACTCAATAATTCTAGTGGCTTCAAATCAAGCGGAAGAAAGCTGGCAGGCCCACATGTGAGAGAATGGGTCTGTGTGGTCAGTGTGCACCACATAAAAAAAATCCTGCAGCACACAGTGTGTAATGAGAAAAAAAAAAACTGATCGTTTTTTTGGATTAAAGCGCCGACTTTGAGGTGTATTTTCGTATAGTATTTATCGATGTATTTGCATTTTCATGGTCTTAGGTGATAAAATGGAAAACATATTACAGAAATAGAGATGATTTTCATTACTTTGATGATGAAAACGACCTTGAAACTGAGCTCAAAGTAGCGGAAATGTTCGATTTTTACCAATGTTCAGGAGTAAACAAATCACACCACACATCCAATACACATCAACTGGGGAGTCTAATATTCTTACACTAGTGCACTGATATTATTTATACCATTTTTACAATAATGCAGTAGTCTGCATAACAGTAAATTTTGTATTTTTTTGTATGAATAAAAAATCAAAATAGAAAGCAATAGTAATATAAGAGGGGCCTAGAGACATGACTAATGAACAGAGGATATATTATTTTAGTGCCAAGAATGTCTACCTTGTTTATTCTGGACCCTATTTTGAAATTGGCATCTTTTTTAGTTTGCATGAAATTGGCCAAATTGCCAATTTCTGACCACCATATTGGGTAGTCCAAATTGGTAAATGGGAGGTTTCTTGTACTCAGCTGATAGATAAAATGGAGTTCTAAAGAAATAGCTATGAGTTTGGTCAACTGGAACAACAGAATTGGCTGAATAGGGCTCAAAGTCGGCGAAATCGCCGATACGCATATGTCGCCGAGACCGCTAACTTCGCGGGAGCGTAATTCCATGAGTTTTCGACCAAATTTCGAACTTTTGGTGTCATTACCACCGGGAAAAGATTCTCTATCATTTCATAAGAAAAAATAATTTTTTTTTTTCAAAAATTTATCGACATAGAATGAGTTTCAGAAAGGGGCCTGCAACAGTCAAAGGGTTAAAGGGCAAAATGACTATTAAGAAAATAGATATCTTGTAGTTTAGAATCTACTTTTTCTAGTGAAGATTTTTAAGAAAATCATTCGTGCTACTTTTTTGTTATTGGTCTTCAAAAATGGCCTAAAATTAACCGTGATGTATGTGAGGGCATTTTTAGGTACCATTATTACAGGAATTAAAAACGTCTGGAGTCTGATATTTTATAATAGTGAAGATATCCACTTCGGTAGCTGGCTACAATAAATAATACTACAATAATGTTTTCCTTGAGAGATACAGGCAGCTGAATTCAAGGTACAATTTTAAGTGATAGATTTATTTGCCTACTTTGGCTTCATACTCTGAAAAATGCAAAAGCGTATAAGTTATAGGACTGCAGTTTTTTTTAAATCAGCTCCAAAAGTTGTATAGGCATAATACAGGAAGTTTTCAACTTACAAACATGTTAGGGACCTGAATTATGTATAATATTCATAATACGGACTTGATTCCTGGGGCTGAGAAGTACAGTGCCGGCACTCTGAAGGAGCGGTGTTAATGTTGCAGTTTTATAACTGTAGTGTAAGTGTGCCTCTGGCAAGAGTGATGGAGTGAATGATGATTAAAGCTTTTCTTTTTCGGACCACCCTACATTGGTGGGAAACGGCCAATGTGTTAATAATAAAAAAAAATCATAATACATGAAGTCTTCAACTTATGAACACATTGGGGACCTTCTGTATTGTGAATAATAATGACATAATAATATTATACATAATAATGATATAATACACAATACTGAAGATCTCGAATGCGTTCGTAATTTAAGGACTTACTGTATAAGGCCCAATTTAGGGCAAATCCTTGTATGATAAAAAAGCTTAACCTTCAACATATTTCACATTCACACTTCCCATTGAAAATACATTTAAAAATCTACTATTAATAAAAATATTCAAAGTACAAGGTGTAGTGAATAAAGGCAAACTTTGCATAACTATGGTCTTGACTGCATAAACAATTAAATGTCCACCGTCTATAAACATTGTATCATGTCTCTCTATAAACATTGTATCATGTCTATAAACATTGTATCATGTCTCTATAAACATTGTATCATGTCTCTATAAACATTGTATCATGTCTCTCTATAAACATTGTATCATGTCTCTCTATAAACATTGTATCATGTCTCTCTATAAACATTGTATCATGTCTCTATAAACATTGTATCATGTCTCTATAAACATTGTATCATGTCTCTATAAACATTGTATCATGTCTCTCTATAAACATTGTATCATGTCTCTCTATAAACATTGTATCATGTCTCTATAAACATTGTATCATGTCTCTCTATAAACATTGTATCATGTCTCTCTATAAACATTGTATCATGTCTCTCTATAAACATTGTATCATGCAGAAATAAATCCTCATATGGTGAAAAAAATATACTCTGTATATTCTTACACCTTCATGCAATAGTCTTTTCTCAGAGAATAAACTGAAGAGAGAGAAATAGTCAGCAGACAAACTTGCAATAAACTGGAGAGAAACAGTCAGCAGACAAACTTGCAATAAACTGGAGAGAAACAGTCAGCAGACAAACTTGCAATAAACTGGAGAGAAACAATGATGATCTGATAAGAAATGTCACCATATCAAAAACAATATACTCAGATCACAACATAATTGAGGTTCAGACATGTATGCGAGGAGCCCCAGACCGACAAAATGAGACTAGTCACGAGGGAGCATTCACCAAATTCAACTTCAATAACAAAAACATAAAGTGGGACCAAGTAAACCAAGTCCTAACCGATATAAGCTGGGAAGATATACTAAGCAACACAGACCCAAACTTATGCCTAGAACAGATTAACTCGGTGGCACTCGATGTATGCACAAGGCTTATTCCTCTAAGAAAAAGGAGGAGTAGATGTAAAATAGAAAGAGACAGGCGCTCCCTTTACAGGCGACGGAAAAAGAATAACAGAGCGGCTAAAAGAGGTCAATATATCTGAAATGCGCAGGGAGACACTGGTCAGAGAAATAGCAAGCATCGAACTTAAGCTAAAAGAATCCTTTAGGAGTCAGGAATCCGCGGAAGAACTAAAAGCTATAAATGAAATCGAAAGAAACCCAAAGTATTTCTTCTCCTATGCCAAATCAAAATCGAGAACAACGCCCAGTATTGGGCCCCTACTTAAACAAGATGGGTCCTACACAGATGACAGCAAGGAAATGAGTGAGCTACTCAAGTCCCAATATGACTCAGTTTTTTAGCAAGCCGCTAACCAGACTGAGAGTCGAAGATCAAAATGAATTTTTTATGAGAGCCACAAAATTTGATTAACACAAGCCTATCCGATGTTATCCTGACGCCAAATGACTTCGAACAGGCGATAAATGACATGCCCATGCACTCTGCCCCAGGGCCAGACTCATGGAACTCTGTGTTCATCAAGAACTGCAAGAAGCCCCTATCACGAGCCTTTTCCATCCTATGGAGAGGGAACATGGACACGGGGGTCGTCCCTCAGTTACTAAAAACAACAGACATAGCCCCACTCCACAAAGGGGGCAGTAAAGCAACAGCAAAGAACTACAGACCAATAGCACTAACATCCCATATCATAAAAATCTTTGAAAGGGTCCTAAGAAGCAAGATCACCACCCATCTAGAAACCCATCAGTTACACAACCCAGGGCAACATGGGTTTAGAACAGGTCGCTCCTGTCTGTCTCAACTACTGGATCACTACGACAAGGTCCTAAATGCACTAGAAGACAAAAAGAATGCAGATGTAATATATACAGACTTTGCAAAAGCCTTCGACAAGTGTGACCATGGCGTAATAGCGCACAAAATGCGCGCTAAAGGAATAACAGGAAAAGTCGGTCGATGGATCTATAATTTCCTCACTAACAGAACACAGAGAGTAGTCGTCAACAGAGTAAAGTCCGAGGCAGCTACGGTGAAAAGCTCTGTTCCACAAGGCACAGTACTAGCTCCCATCTTGTTCCTCATCCTCATATCCGACATAGACAAGGATGTCAGCCACAGCACCGTGTCTTCCTTTGCAGATGACACCCGAATCTGCATGACAGTGTCTTCCATTGCAGACACTGCAAGGCTCCAGGCGGACATCAACCAAATCTTTCAGTGGGCTGCAGAAAACAATATGAAGTTCAACGATGAGAAATTTCAATTACTCAGATATGGTAAACATGAGGAAATTAAATCTTCATCAGAGTACAAAACAAATTCTGGCCACAAAATAGAGCGAAACACCAACGTCAAAGACCTGGGAGTGATTATGTCGGAGGATCTCACCTTCAAGGACCATAACATTGTATCAATCGCATCTGCTAGGAAAATGACAGGATGGATAATGAGAACCTTCAAAACTAGGGAGGCCAAGCCCATGATGACACTCTTCAGGTCACTTGTTCTATCTAGGCTGGAATATTGCTGCACTCTAACAGCACCTTTCAAGGCAGGTGAAATTGCCGACCTAGAAAATGTACAGAGAACTTTCACGGCGCGCATAACGGAGATAAACCACCTCAATTACTGGGAGCGCTTGAGGTTTCTAAACCTGTATTCCCTGGAACGCAGGAGGGAGAGATACATGATTATATACACCTGGAAAATCCTAGAGGGACTAGTACCGAACTTGCACACGAAAATCACTCACTACGAAAGCAAAAGACTTGGGCAGACGATGCACCATCCCCCCAATGAAAAGCAGGGGTGTCACTAGCACGTTAAGAGACCATACAATAAGTGTCAGGGGCCCGAGACTGTTCAACTGCCTCCCAGCACACATAAGGGGGATTACCAACAGACCCCTGGCAGTCTTCAAGCTGGCACTGGACAAGCACCTAAAGTCAGTTCCTGATCAGCCGGGCTGTGGCTCGTACGTTGGTTTGCGTGCAGCCAGCAGCAACAGCCTGGTTGATCAGGCGCTGATCCACCAGGAGGCCTGGTCACGGACCGGGCCGCGGGGGCGTTGACCCCCGAAACTCTCTCCAGGTAAACTCCAGACAAATTTGCAATAAACTGGAGAGAAACAGTCAGCAGACAAACTTGCAATAAACTGGAGAGAAACAGCAGACAAACTTGCAATAAACTGGAGAGAAACAGTCAGCAGACAAACTTGCAATAAACTGGAGAGAAACAGTCAGCAGACAAACTTACAATAAACTGGAGAGAAACAGTCAGCAGACACAATAAACTGGAGAGAAACAGTCAGCAGACACAATAAACTGGAGAGAAACAGTCAGCAGATACAATAAACTGGAGAGAAACAGTCAGCAGACACTTACAATAAACTGGAGAGAAACAGTCAGCAGACACAATAAACTGGAGAGAAACAGTCAGCAGACACAATAAACTGGAGAGAAACAGTCAGCAGATACAATAAACTGGAGAGAAACAGTCAGCAGACACTTACAATAAACTGGAGAGAAACAGTCAGCAGACAAACTTACAATAAACTGGAGAGAAACAGTCAGCAGACAAACTTACGGTCATATTCTGTAACTTCCTGTGGAGAATCCTGTGTAGTTGAAGTCGTTGAGTTGATGACACCGAGTGTATCTTTGTGGCCACACCCGCGACACTCTCGCAGGTTTGCCAGGTACGTTCCTGTGTCCAGACACACTGTACCCTGCAAGTAAACTCCTCATTATTTTTCAAAGTTGAGCACTGAACCCATAAGCAATTAGTTATTGTTATTATGGTTTTAAGTTTGCACAAAATGCTCTGTGTAAATATGGACTTTCTACATGCAGATTTAAATGTCACCCATCCCTGTACAAGTGTTATATCATTGTTAAATAAAGTGTTATTATTAATATTATTACTATTATATTATTATTATTTTATTATTATTCTATATTATTATTATTATTATTATTATTATACTACAGCCTCTTCTCACTTAAAGACGGAATTAAGATAAGATAAGATAAGATTTCGTTCGGATTTTTAATCCCCGGAGGGTTAGCCACCCAGGATAACCCAAGAAAGTCAGTGCGTCATCGAGGACTGTCTAACTTATTTCCATTGGGGTCCTTAATCTTGTCCCCCAGGATGCCACCCACACCAGTCGATTAACACCCAGGTACCTATTTGCTGCTAGGTGAACAGGACAACAGGTGTAAGGAAACGTGTCGAAATGTTTCCACCCGCCGGGAATCGAACCCGGGCCCTCCGTGTGTGAAGCGGGAGCTTTAGCCACCAGGCCACCGGGCCACCCCCATTCCTAAGACCACGTCAGTAAACGAATTCGTCGTTAAGTGAGGAGCATACTATAATAGTAGTGGGTTTGTGTCAACCATCTTTGATATGTTTTAATGTCACCTTTGCACCATTTATAACATTTCTGGTACAAGAATAAATCCTTTCAGATCACAAGAATCTTCATGGTACCCCATTTTTGGATCCTGCAAGCATTTTCAGGCTTTCTCCACTGATGATAAAACTGGGTACCAAATATTTAATAAAGCTATAAAAGGGAACTGTTGGTATATTTTTAAATGTTTATACAGTAGTGTACTGAATATTGTAATAAGCAGAATATGTAGAGGAAATCAGCTCTAGTATACATTATTTAGGCATGCATACTCGTCCGAAAGCCCGTCATAAGTCCGAGGAGTCGGTAAATAAGTACGTTGCTAAATGAGGAGAGGCTGTATGCCCATACAGTTAAACCTCGGTTGCTGATTGCATTACTTGTGAAACAAATTGGTTTTCGGATGATGTGTTTGAGAAAACAAAAATGTCCTGGTTTTCGTACGTTCTCTCAGTTGTTGACGGACAAGTTTTTTGTATGTACAGAATGGGACACAGCGGCTGAGGACACATTCTCACGGAATATGTACTGGACAATGAGTCGACAGCGTGGGTATGAGTCAATATAGCCACTAACTAGCATGTTGTAAATATCTCTTGGGCTTTTCTTGTGCATCCTGTGATTTTTTTGTTATTTTTGCAGTTTTGGTGCAGTTTTTTTATTGCAAGATAAGCCATGATGGGTCCTAAGAGTCAGTGAACCAGAACAAAGTGTTAATGGTGAAAAGAGATAAAGGAGAGAAACAACATTAGGTCTCTGACAGGTAAGAGGCAGTTAAATTTTCATTTACGGCGGACGCCCGGTTTACGATATTATTTCATTCCTGAAGTATGTTCAGGTGCCAGTACTGACCGAATTTGTTCCCATAAGGAATATTGTGAAGTAGATTAGTCCATTTCAGACCCCCAAACATACACATACAAACGCACTTACATAAATACTTACATAATTGGTCGCATTGGGAGCTGATCGTAAACCGGGGGTCCACTGTACTGTACAGTATTTCATTAAACTTTCATTTAGTATTCATTTTTACAGTTTCCCTGTTCTGTATAATTTTATACATTGTTTTATGTAGTAGTTAGTACATTCATATCATCATTTGAGGTCTGGAACGGATTAATTCTATTTACATTAATCTGTATGGGAAAAATTCCTTCAACTGTCATCGATTTTAGTTGTTGAATCGACATCTGTAATGAACTAAATTCGAAAACCAAAGTTCCACTGTATAAAAATATTCCAAAATTGAAAAATATTCAGAATCCGCTTCCAGTCCCAAACATTTCATATAAAGGATTCTCAACTGTATACAATTAAGATGACTTATATACTACAACATACTATATAGAAATACCCTTTTTTGTGCATGGTATTTCTGGCAGCCTTAAAACCAAATTATTACAAATATATGAGAATATAAATACACCTACTATCTGACTTACGACCGAGTTCGGTTCCGAGAAACCGGTTGTAAGTCGAACTTTACTACTGAATATCAACAAAACATTTTTGTAATGACTTTATTTTATTGTTTTATTTTGATATTTCATGTTTTACTTTACATTTTATGCTGTTAGTACTGTATTTTATACTGTAAGGTTTAGGATAAACACTGTGTACAACACAAATACTTGTTTATTTCCCAGAAATTTGGCATAAAAAACACGGTCGTAAGTCGAGTGGTCGTAAGTCGAGCAGGTCGTAAGTCGGATGGTAGGTGTACATAGTTTTTAAAATACAAGCAGGCCCCATTTACTCCGCTTCACTGATGCAGCGCTTGTCAGTTTCACTGATGCAGCGCTTGTCAGTTTCACTGATGCAGCGCTTGTCAGTTACGTATACCCAGTCTTTATTTATTTCGACTTCCTACACTAAATATATTCACCATTGACTATAAGCTATGCATGAAAATATTTGAAGGTAAAGTAATTTGTGTGTATTGTATATGCATTTTTAAGCCTAGCTCTATTGCTTACCTAATATATAGCAGTGTAAACATGTTACCTGGCTATTATAGAGTGGAAAAAGGAGTTTCACTTTACAGCAATTTTTTGCTTTACAGCAGTAGCCCAGACCCTAACTTGCTGTATAAGTGGGGCCCTCCTGTATTTAACCCGTAAACGGTCCAAACATATATATACGTTTTTTCAACATTTGAAAGTACAGTGGACCCCCGCTTAACGATCACCTCCCAATGCGACCAATTATGTAAGTGTATTTATGTAAGTGCGTTTATACGTGTATGTTTGGGGGTCTGAAATGGACTAATCTAATTCACAATATTCCTTATGGGAACAAATTTGGTCAGTACTGGCACCTGAACATACTTCTGGAGTGAAAAAATATCGTTAAACGGGGGTCCACTGTACAGTGGAACCTCAAAAATCGAACTGCTCCCAACTCAACCAATTATGTAAGTGTATTTTTGTAAGTGCTTTTATAAGTGTATTTTTGAGGGTCTTAAATGGACTAATCTAATTTACATTATTCCTGATGGGAATAAATTCGTTCGGTAGTGGCACTCAAACAGCCTTCTGGACCAAAGAAAGTTCGATTTTTGAGGTTCCACTGTATGTAAAAAAAAGTAGATCTTCTTTTTGTTTTTTTACACTTGAAAATGTGTAAAAAAAACTTTGATTTACTTTTTTTTTTGTTACATTTGAAAATATGTAAAAAAAACGTAGATCTACTTTTGTAGCGCTACACATGTGAACGTAGATCTGTTTGGACCGTTTACGGGTTAATGTTTAAATTTCGATATCGGTACTGCATACTCGTACTCACCCTGTCTGGATATTCTTCTTTAACACAATCTTGACACATCCTCACGTCTTACATAGTTATATCAAGTTGTATTATCTGAAAAGCGATATTAATGAATATAATGGTTTTTTAAAAAGTGCGAGGTGTCATCCAAAGATAACAAGTTAGTCATTACTGGAACCCTAGCTGTCTCATTCAGAAGAATAAACACCTCAAAATACACGATGATCCGTAAGATTTGCTGCGATTTTTAACCCAGAGGGTTAGTCACCCCTTATTATTATATTATAATCATGGGGGAGCACTAAAGCTGTAGGGATTATACAGCACATGTGGGGGGGGAGGTTAGCCATCCAGGATAACCCAAGGAAGTCAGTGCATCGTCAAGGACTGTCTGTCTTATTTCCATTGTGGTCCTTTAATCTTGTCACCCAGAATGCCACCCACACCAGGTGGCTAAGACCCAGGTACCTAATAACTGCTAGGTGAACAGGGGCAGCAGGTGTAAGGTTACTAATACCCATGTACCTACTTGTTGCTAGGTGAACATGGACAGCAAGTGTAAGGTAACTAACACCCAGGTACCTACTTACTGCTAGGTGAACAGTGACAGCAGGTGTAAGGTGACGAACACCCAGGTACCTACTTACTGCGAGGTGAACATTATTATAATCAAAACCAAGCACTTAACCCACTAGAATCATGTGAGGTGAACAGGGACAGTAAGTATAAGGAAACATGACCATCATTTTCACCCGTGCCGGAGATCAAACCATGGACACCAAGAATGTGAGCTGAATGTGCTATCAATCACAAGGTGGATTTAATTAGATTACGTTTATTACTATCTATTAAAAAAATCTCAAATAAAAATTCAGTTAAATATCGCATAATTCAAATTATAATCATTAGTGTACCTGTTATTGTAAGCTGATTTTTTCCTATTTAATGTACATGAAGGATCCCATATCCGCAGAGGATGTGTTCCAAGCACCTGCCGCGGATTCCGAAACCGCGGATAGCAGCGAACCTTATACAGTGGACCCCTGGATAACGATATTATTTCAATCCAGAAGTCTGTTTGGGTGCCGTTATAGACCAAATTTGTTCCCATAAGAGATATTGTGAATTAGATTAGTCCGTTTCAGACCCCCAAAAATACACCTACAAAAGCACTTACAAAAATACACTTACATAATTGGTCGAGTTGGGAGCTGATCGTTATGCGGGGGTCCACTGTATATAAGTCCTATACATACTGTATTTCGTGGCTTATAAGACCTGTTTTAGTTTCAGTGGCTTGGCGTCAGACGTAACTGGGAGAGCTACAGTCCAACCCACAACACAAACTTATACCTCCCATCACTGATCTTGGGTTTATAGGACGCAGGCTGGTTTTTGGAGACATTTTATGGAAAAAATGGGTCTTATAAGCCGCAAAATATGGCACCTATTGTAAAGTTTAATTGATAAATAACGCACAATAAGTGTAACATGTCATAGTGGTGTAACACATCACAGTGGTGTAACATGTTACAGTGTAGTAACACGTCACAGTTGTGTAACAGGTCACAGTGTTGTAACAAACATCACAGTGTAGTAACACACGTCACAGTAGTGTAACACGTCACAGTGTTGTAACACATGTCACAGCGTATTAATGCACATCACAGTGTAACATGTCACAGTGATGTAACACATGTCACAATAGTGTAACACATGTCACAGTAGTGTAACACATGTAACACACATCACAGTAGTGTAACGCATCACAGTGGTGTAAAATGTCAGTGGTGCAACACATGTCAGTGGTGTAACACGTCACAGTGGTGTAACACACGTCACAGTAGTGTAACATGTCACAGTGGTGTAACACGTCACAGTAGTGTAACACGTCACAGTAGTGACACATCACAGTAGTGTAACACGTCAGTGTAGTAACACACGTCATTGTAACACGTCACAGTGGTGTAACGCACGTCACAGTGTTGTAACATATGTCAGTGTTGTAACATGTCATAGTGTTGTAAAATGTCACAGTAGTGTAACACGTCACAGTAGTAACACGTCACAGTAGTGTAACAGGTCACATTGTAGTAACACACGTCATTGTAACACGTCACAGTAGTGTAACACACGTCAGTGTAGTAACGCATCACAGTAGTGTAACACGTCACTGTAGTAACACGTCAGTGTTGTAACGTCACAGTGTTGTAACACACGTCACAGTGTTGTAACATATGTCAGTATTGTAACACGTCACAGTAGTGTAACACACGTCACAGTGTAGTAATGCGTCACAGTAGTAACACGTCAGTGTTGTAACACGTCACATTGTTGTAACACACGTCACAGTGTTGTAACATATGTCAGTGTTGTAACACGTCACAGTGTTGTAACACACGTCACAGTGTTGTAACATATGTCAGTGTAGTAACACGACACAGTAGTGTAACACACGTCACAGTGTAGTAACACACGTCAGTGTTGTAACGTCACAGTAGTGTAACACGTCACAATGTTGTAGCACACGTCACAGTGTTGTAACGTCACAGCGTTGTAACACGTCACAGTAGTGTAACACACGTTACAGTGCTGTAGCACACGTCACATTGTAACACGTCACAGCGTTGTAACACGTCACAGCGTTGTAACACGTCACAGTAGTGTAACACGTCACAGTGTTGTAACAGGTCACAGTGTTGTAACACGTCACAGTGTAGTCACAGTGTTGTAACACATGTCACAGTGTTGTAACACGTCACAGTAGTGTAACACATGTCACAGTGTAGTAACACGTCAGTGTAGTAACACGTCACAGTGTAACACGTCACATTGTTGTAACACACGTCAGTGTAGTAACACGTCACAGTAGTGTAACACGTCACAGTAGTGTAACATCACAGTAGTGGTAACACATCACAGTGTTGTAACACACGTCAGTGTTGTAACACACGTCACAGTGTTGTAACACGTCACAGTATTGGTAACACGTCACAGTGTTGTAACACGTCACAGTAGTGTAACACGTCACAGTGTAGTAACTTCACAGTGTAGTAACACGTCACAGTGTTGTAACACGTCACATTGTAGTAACACACGTCACAGTGTTGTACCACACGTCACAGTGTAGTAACACACGTCACAGTAGTGCAACGTCAGTGTAGTATCACGTCACAGTGTAGTAACACGTCACAGTAGTGTAACACGTCACAGTGTTGTAACACGTCACTTGTAACACGTCACATTGTAGTAACACACGTAACAGTGTTGTAACACGTCACAGTGTAGTAACACGTCACAGTGTAGTAACGTCACAGTGTAGTAACACGTCACAGTGTTGTAACACGTCACAGTGTAGTAACACACGTCAGTGTAGTAACACGTCAGTGTAGTAACACGTCACATTGTAACACACGTCAGTGTAGTAACACACGTCACAGTGTAGTAACACGTCACATTGTAACGTCACAGTGTAGTAACACGTCACATTGTAACACACGTCACAGTGTAGTAACACGTCACATTGTAACACATCACAGTGTAGTAACATGTCACATTGTAACACGTCACAGTGTAGTAACACATCACATTGTAGTAACACGTCACAGTGTAGTAACACGTCACAGTAGTGTAACACGCCACAGTGTAGTAACACGTCACAGTAGTGTAACACGTCACAGTGTAGTAACACGTCACAGTGTAGTAACACGTCACATTGTAACACGTCACAGTGTAGTAACACATCACAGTGTAACACGTCAGTGCAGTAACACGTCACATTGTAGTAACACGTCACAGTGTAGTAACACACGTCACAGCAGTGTAACACGCCACAGTGTAGTAACACGTCACAGTGTAGTAACACGTCACAGTAGTGTAACACGTCACAGTGAAGTAACACGTCACAGTGTAGTAACACACGTCACATTGTAGTAACACGCCACAGTGTAGTAACACACGTCACAGTGTAGTAACACACATCACAGTATAGTACACGTCACAGTGTAGTAACACACATCACAGTGTAGTAACACACATCACAGTGTAGTAACACATGTCACAGTGTAGTAACACATCACAGTGTAGTAACACACGTCACAGTGTAGTAACACACATCACAGTGTAGTAACACGTCACAGTGTAGTAACACGCATCACAATGTAGTAACACACATCACAGTGTAGTAACACACATCACAGTGTAGTAACACACGTCACAGTGTAGTAACACACATCACAGTGTAGTAACACACATCACAGTGTAGTAACACACATCACAGTTTAGTAACACACATCACAGTGTAGTAACACACATCACAGTTTAGTAACACACATCACAGTGTAGTAACACACATCACAGTGTAGTAACACACATCACAGTGTAGTAACACACATCACAGTGTAGTAACACACATCACAGTGTAGTAACACACATCACAGTGTAGTAAAACACATCAGTGTAGTAACACACATCACAGTGTAGTAACACACATCACAGTGTAGTAACACACATCACAGTGTAGTAACACACATCACAGTGTAGTAACACACGTCACAGTGTAGTAACACACATCACAGTGTAGTAACACACGTCACAGTAGTGTAACACGTCACAGGAGACACACCGTAACACAATAACAGTAGCACAACAACACTGACAGTGTTGCCATAACCCAAGTAAAGTAGCGGAACTCTCCAGTATGTAGCGGAAATATACACACATACATACATATATATATTATATATATATATATATATATAATATATATATATATATAATATATATATATTATATATATATATATATATATATATATATATATTATATATATATATATGTCGTGCCGAATAGGTAAAATTGGTAAATTAGCGAGAACTTATTTAAAATTCAATACTTTATTAAAAGAATTAAAATCGGGTGTAATCGGCGCCTATGTATGTTGTATCTAAAGGACCCCAGTGGAAATAAGTCACTGTGTCTGACTTTATTGTGTTATCCCAGGTTCTCTACACATATACTGCTATGTTTGATAATTCTATGTAACTGTATTTGTGTATACCTGAATAAACTTACTTACTAATCGGCAATAATTGGGAACCATGATATTAATATCGTAGGTATCTGGAAGTGTTCAGATCCATGTTAATTTAGCTGGAATAGAGGTGATAAGGAAGGTAATATTGGACACGGTGTTTGGCCGGGATTTGTTCATTGGACCACAATGGAACTAAGTCACTCTGATTTTACTGTGTTATCCCAGGTTGTCTACACATATACTGCTATGTATGATAATCTATGTAACTGTATTTATGTATACCTGAATAAACTTACTAACAATAATCCTCGCCCCCTGGAATATGGTATCTCCTCAATTAGGTAAAATATTTAATATTGGCCAATATACAGAATATCTGCCTTCTAAGGGAGGCTTAAGGATAAGCAAGATAATTTGGTAAGTGAATTTATTTATGTACACTTTTGGTATTCTGTCGAAGATCAAAATGAATTTTTTATGAGAGAGCCACAAAATTTGATTAACACAAGCCTATCCGATGTTATCCTGACGCCAAATGACTTCGAACAGACGATAAATGACATACCCATGCACTCTGCCCCAAGGCCAGACTCATGGAACTCTGTGTTCATCAAGAACTGCAAGAAGCCCCTATCACGAGCCTTTTCCATCCTATGGAGAGGGAGCATGGACACGGGGGTCGTCCCACAGTTACTAAAAACAACAGACATAGCCCCACTCCACAAAGGGGGCAGTAAAGCAACAGCAAAGAACTACAGACCGATAGCACTAACATCCCATATCATAAAAATCTTTGAAAGGGTCCTAAGAAGCAAGATCACCACCCATCTAGAAACCCATCAGTTACACAACCCAGGGCAACATGGGTTTAGAACAGGTCGCTCCTGTCTGTCTCAACTATTGGATCACTACGACAAGGTCCTAAATGCACTAGAAGACAAAAAGAATGCAGATGTAATATATACAGACTTTGCAAAAGCCTTCGACAAGTGTGACCATGGCGTAATAGCGCACAAAATGCGTGCTAAAGGAATAACAGGAAAAGTCGGTCGATGGATCTATAATTTCCTCACTAACAGAACACAGAGAGTAGTCGTCAACAGAGTAAAGTCCGAGGCAGCTACGGTGAAAAGCTCTGTTCCACAAGGCACAGTACTAGCTCCCATCTTGTTACTCATCCTCATATCCGACATAGACAAGGATGTCAGCCACAGCACCGTGTCTTCCTTTGCAGATGACACCCGAATCTGCATGACAGTGTCTTCCATTGCAGACACTGCAAGGCTCCAGGCGGACATCAACCGAATCTTTCAGTGGGCTGCAGAAAACAATATGAAGTTCAACGATGAGAAATTTCAATTACTCAGATATGGTAAACACGAGGAAATTAAATCTTCATCAGAGTACAAAACAAATTCTGGCCACAAAATAGAGCGAAACACCAACGTCAAAGACCTGGGAGTGATCATGTCGGAGGATCTCACCTTCAAGGACCATAACATTGTATCAATCGCATCTGCTAGAAAAATGACAGGATGGATAATGAGAACCTTCAAAACTAGGGAGGCCAAGCCCATGATGACACTCTTCAGTTCACTTGTTTTATCTAGGCTGGAATATTGCTGCACACTAACAGCACCTTTCAAGGCAGGTGAAATTGCTGACCTAGAAAATGTACAGAGAACCTTCACGGCGCGCATAACGGAGATAAAACACCTCAATTACTGGGAGCACTTGAGGTTCCTAAACCTGTATTCCCTGGAACGCAGGCAGGAGAGATACATGATTATATACACCTGGAAAATCCTAGAGGGACTAGTACCGAACTTGCACACGAAAATCACTCACTACGAAAGCAAAAGACTTGGCAGACGATGCAACATCCCCCCAATGAAAAGCAGGGGTGTCACTAGCACGTTAAGAGACCATACAATAAGTGTCAGGGGCCCGAGACTGTTCAACTGCCTCCCAGCACACATAAGCGGGATTACCAACAGACCCGTGGCCCGGTGGTCTGGTGGCTAAAGCTCCCGCTTCACACACGGAGGGCCCGGGTTCGATTCCCGGCGGGTGGAAATTCCGACACGTTTCCTTACACCTATTGTCCTGTTCACCTAGCAGCAAATAGGTACCTGGGTGTTAGTCGACTGGTGTGGGTCGCATCCTGGGGGACAAGATTAAGGACCCCAATGGAAATAAGTTAGACAGTCCTCGATGACGCACTGACTTTCTTGGGTTATCCTGGGTGGCTAACCCTCCGGGGTTAAAAATCCGAACGAAATCTTATCTTATCTTACCCCTGGCTGTCTTCAAGCTGGCACTGGACAAGCACCTAAAGTCGGTTCCTGACCAGCCGGGCTGTGGCTCGTACGTTGGTTTGCGTGCAGCCAGCAGCAACAGCCTGGTTGATCAGGCTCTGATCCACCAGGAGGCCTGGTCACAGACCGGGCCGCGGGGGCGTTGACCCCTGGAACTCTCTCCAGGTAAACTCCAGGTAAACATGTAATAAATTGTGAACCACCCAACTTCTTAATGTCAAGTCAGTAAATCAGATTTATACAGTCCACAGCCTAATTTACTGGTGTTACTGGTTTAATTTCTTTTAATTCTGGAATTATATGTTCCAAAGAAAAGGTCCAGATTGTGTGAGTGAGGGCAGGTGGATAGGTGGGTAGGTGGGCATGGAAGGAAGGACAGTGAAACGCCCCACTGTTGCTAAAGGCCTACCTGTCTCCCAGGTATAACTAGTATAACAGTAAGTGTAATGTCTATTTTAGTTGTGCTGAGAGTTTTAAACTGTGTGTGTGTGTGTAATAATTCAGGATTGTACCTGTAACCCTCACATATATAACTTCTCACGACATGATAGAAGTACAGACATGTATGTGCAGGACTCCAGACCAATATAAAGTGATCAGTGAACCATGTCCTGCATGTGAAGATATCCTAAACAACACTGATTCGAACCTCTGCCTATAAAGAATTAACTCTGTGGCACTTGAGGTCTGCTCAAGGCACATTCCTTTAAGGTAAAGGAAGAGAAGATGTAAACTAGAAAGAGAGAGACGCCCCCATGCGGGAAAAAGGTGAAGGTCACGAACTCCCGAGGGGAGCCAATATATCGAAATAAAAGGGGAGGAACGGGTCATAGAAATAGAAAATATCAAACCCTTAAGTTTAAGGAAACATATTTGGAGAACACAAATTTCGGAAAAGCCGTTAATAAAACGGGAAAACTGAACAAAATATTTTTCTTTTGTCAAACCCAAGGCAAAAGCAGGTAAACAGTACACCAATATGACAAGGATAAAAACAAAAAACGTGAAAAAAAGAATAACGGGAAAATTTTGGTAGAGGGACCCTATAATTTTCTAAAACAAATAGAAAACAAATAAAAACCAAGAAAAGGGCCTGAGGCAGATCCAGGAAAACTCTTTTTCCCCCGGGCACATACGGATCCCATCCGTCCCTTCATTTTTGACAAAAGTTTTTAAAACCACAGCTCTGGTCGTTTTCCCTTTTTCGGATTACACCCAGATTTGCAGGGCTTTTTTATTTATTTTTTTAATTTAGAAATTTCCTACAAACAGGGGTACAAAAAAACAGGTAAGAGCCACATGCCAAAGCCCATTTAAATAGCATGCTTTAAAGGGGCGGCTTAAAAAAAAACTTAAGTTTAAAAACAAGGGCAATGATGAAACAGGGGGATAAAACTTTATTGTAAACAGATAATTTTTAAAATACAAATGAGTTTTAAACAAAGACGGGCCTTGGTTGCTTAAAATTCTGTAATTCAGTAGAAGGGAGTATTCGGTTAGGTAGTGTTTTTAATCCATCAAAAAAACTGAAATTTATTATTATTATAATAAAGGGGGGAAAGCAAAAACCCGGGGATTATACAGAAACCTGGGGGGGGGGGAAGTGGAAGCCCTTTCCCAGGTTTAAATTTCGGGGAACGGAGCACAGATATTTGGGTGCAAAATCCCAAATTTTTAAAGGGGGCCGCAAAAAACATGTGAATTTTAGTGAAGAGAAATTTTTTTTTATTCTGATAGGAAAACTTGAGGAAATTAAAACCACCAACAAGCGAAAAAAAAAATGTAAAAGGACCGGGGAAGTGAAATGCTAGAGGATCTAAACTTTCAAAGACCACAACAATGTCCCACCACATCGCTAGA